ATAACTGCCACTTCGCACCCACCCTGTCGTTGTTGCAAGGGATGCTTCCTTTGATGTCCTCTAAACCTATGGCTAAACCTATGGCTAAGGCAGGCAGTGTTGAGAAGCTGACCCCTCTGGTCATGGTTACAAGGATTCAATTTTCATCTGTTTATATGACTGGAAGCAAAACCACAGCCGATCAGGGATCTGCTATGCAGGTGACTTGCGTCAATCTAATGCCAGTGAAAGTTGTCAGCGGTGGCCGGATCTGGCGTTTACCTAGGTGGTTGGTGGTTTGGTTTTATCGCTGTGGAGGCTTGCATTGATGATCTGGGCAATCGTGTGGTCTGGCATTGTCTCTGAGCTTGTCTGACACTCAGCTTTGTGCAGCCTCATGATGCTACTTGTCACATAAGTAGCTTGCTTGACATCTTTACAGGTAGGCAATGGTTAAAATCCTGGTTAAAATGGCGAAGGAACCTGGGCTGTTTGTCCAGGTGCTCGGGCACCCAACTTGTGCCCAGATACACGGCCGGGTGTCCGACCGGGCAAGAACATTGGGCAGGGGTCCAGGCAGCCCGAGTGCAAAAAAAAAGGGATAATTTGCAATATACCCCCATAAGTTGAGATATATGCCAAAATGCCCCTAAAAGATGTGGGCAGAGCGGAATGCCCCTCTGACAAAATAAATATGTTGTGAAATACCCCTGGTGTCGGTTGGACCCCCATCTTTGGAATATACCCCTACCGGGTACCATCCAACTTTGCGAAATGCCCCAGTACTTGACAACTTTTCCTAGGCGCTGGGGAGGTCCAGATTGCAAAGTTGCACACCCGCCTGACAGGGGCACAACACAAAGATTTCGGCCCAAAAGGGCATTCCACTCTACCCACATCTTTCAGGGGCATTTTGGCATATATCTCAACTTATGGGGGTATTTTGCAAATTATCAAATAAAAAAAAAATCCAGAACATAAAAACGTTTTTTTTTTTTGTTTTTTTTTTTTTTTTGTAAAGCCCTTGCGATATCCCTCTATCCTGGCGGTGGTAAGAGAACCGTCAGAATAGAGGGCTTATGTGTCAGGCTGCTCCATCTATTGGTGGGGAGCGGCACCTGCTGGAAACCGGGTCCAGCGTCCATTAGATACATCGAGTAGCACAGAAAATGGTGTTTGTTGATTCCTAGGGCTGTGGTTATTGATGACTCATCCCGGGGCACCAGTGTCCCATGGAGCTGCTAGCGTCACCCTTCCCTTTTTAGAAGCCCCCTTGTCTATTACCCAAGCCCTATTTCAGCAGCCCCCCTGATAGGTTGTTGCTATTTCTGACCCTTTCGACGCTTAATATCCTAACCCCTTTTTTTAACTGCTTGCCGAAAACTAAACAATTGTATACAAAGCAGCCTCTTGAGCATTATTACTGTGTTTGTGTGTTTGTCCCTTCGCCTGAATTACCCCGGTGCAACAATCTACACCCTCCTCTGGGAATTGCAATGCAAACGACTTTTGCCTGAGGGCCACATGATCACATCAGGATTCCCCTCGGAATCGAAGATAAAAAAAGAAAACAACAGAATCAGACTAAGGCACCACCCTCTAGACCCCCCTTTAGGCCCTTGAAAACCAATTTATACTCCCTTTCCCCACCCCTGACAGCCAATGCTCCAAAATGCGAAGGATCCCCGTTTTGGGCTCCTCTGGGCATGTGCTGCCGACCCCCCATGCCCCCCACCCCAAAACAAAAAAAACAAAAAAAAAGGAAAAGGAGGGCTGATTTTTACCCCGTGCAGGTGATCGCTGGGCGACTTATCTGGGCTGCATGACCGGGCAAGTCAAGTAGCCTAGGAAGGAACTTGGCAGTTCACATTAAGTGTGGCTCTTGAAAGCAACAATAATCAATGACTTTACAATGACAATTTTTTTAAAGTTTTATTATTATTATTTTTTTCCAAAGAGAAACCTCAGGGCCCATTCTATTCTGGGGGGAGTCAGTCCGGTCGCCCCTTTTTTCGTTTTTTTTTAAGAAAAACCAGCTCCTTGCTAGGAGAGGTTGCTTATCACCGGCAAACATGTTTTACACAAGGGCAGTGGAGAGAAAAGATATGAAAAAGGGGCCAGCCTAGCCCTTGCGGCACTAGACGCCTAAACAAGCGGTGACTGATACAGAGCGCCCATCCCCCAACCTTGATCCCTCCTTGGGGGCCGTTCTACTGGTCGCGGAGGCTTTTACTAGCAGCACCCAGCCACGCTGTAGAGCAGCCGTCAAGGGGGGGGGGCATGGCGCCGGAGGGGGGGGCGTTCTGACCAGCCCTTAAGGCCGCATGCCAGTCCTTCACTATTTCTTAACATGCCTGAGTCGTCTCCAGCTGGTATCTACTTCCATGTGTATTTCCTATCCTTCCACGCTCCTTTCTCACTCTCAGCACCTCCTGGTCCCAGCAGTCTGCTATTCTAGATTCTAGATTTCCTTTCAAACTCCTGTTTTTTTTTTGTTTTTTTTTTGAACTCCATGGCAACCCGTGAGAGTTCTTGTGAGAATGTCTACCACGGCTGTTGTATGGAAAGTCCCTAGAAGTCTAGGGATGGTTCATTTGTTTGCTTTCCTTCGGAGAGTCTGTGGAATGTTTCTCACGCGCTGAGTTACGTGTGGGATGATGTGGGTGTCAATGCCTGTTTTTGATTTCAGAACGAGCGTGGGCCACTTGGACCATGAAGATTGTGTGGCAAACGGCATCAGCGCTATGGTTGCGTCACTAGGGCCGGCAAGCGTTGCATATGAGGTGAGATGATGCATAGTTTTTCGCATGAGTTTTCTTTTTCCAAAGCAAGAAGTGCCGCTCAACCTTTCTATATGTTTTGTTGACCCTCTTATCCTCCTGAGCTTGATGGCATTGTTTGCTTCTGAGATGAGTGTCTGGTGCTGCAACCGGATCTGGTGGTTGTCGGTGGCCGCCACAGTCTTTTTGCAGTCTGCCCAGGCCTCCTCTGTGCCACCACTGGACCACCACTGGACCATTGTTACATTCTGCATTACACACGGGCCATGCCAGGCTCGACGACAGGACCAAGGGGTTACCTAGGGCCTGGACACGGTAGTCCAGGGCGGTCCGGCCCAAAGGCCGGACCCCTTCTTTTCCAGGCCGCCCCGTAGGCCCTTAGACAGGCCCAGACGGGGACCAGTCCAAACCGCATTACCGTTTGGACCTGGCGGCTGACTTTGAGGCTGCCCTCCCCAGGTCTGATCTGAACCGCAGATCGGATACAAAATCTGACGGTTCAGATCACGAGGCACTTTCGCAGCCTCAAGGCCGAACAGGCCACCGCCGGTACTTAGGACCGACCGGCGGTCTGTTCAGGATCTTTTCGTTTTGGGTCCACCTTCTGGAGGAACGGCAGCAGTTGAGGAGCAGCGCTGCACTAATTTTGGATTAGCGCAGCTCTGAGCACAGCAGCGCTAATTAGCGCTGACTGGCGATTAGAGGTGGCAGACGGGCACTTACCGGCTTACCTGCGCAGCGCCATAGCCCCAGGTTGAAGCCGCGGGTCTTCGACAACTCTAAGGCGCCTCCTTGCACCTGCAGGTAAGGGCCTGGGTACGGGATCCGGGAGTGAGGGCTCTCCTCCTCCCTACTTCGCCATCTCCACCTTTCCTCTGCCCTCCCGAGATCTTCTTCTTCTTCTTCTTCTTCTTCTTCTTCTTCTTCAGATGAGAGACTTTAGATACGAGATGGACAGAGATCAGTGTTTGGACCTGGTGGTAGGAGGATGTGACACTTACCGGATTTGAGACATTGGAGATATTTGGGATTGATACCTGGCGGCATCACAGATCGGACATCGGTTATACTAGGATGCTGTATCTCCGACAATGGTGACTTATGTCAACCACATTCTGATTTTGTTCGGTGACATTTTGGGCTACTATATCGGTGACATTCTGGATTCGATTTCGGTGACATCTGGCGCTGTCCCTATCTCCCACCTCCATCGTCTCTCCTCCCACCATTCATCTGTGTATGGGTGTACGGGGCTGAAGCATCGTCTATGTATGGCTTCAGACCCCACAATCTCACGATTGCTTGTGTGTTGAGTGATGTCTGGGTAAGTTCCGTCTATGTGAGTCAGTCCATATCTCAGACCTCCGCTGCATATATGCTCATCCTATATTGGTTGATCTTTGGTTCTGCCCATACTTGGTTTATGTATTCACTAGTATGCAACAACCAACCAACGGGTGGCCCAGCTTGTTTGCTGGTGTGTGCGATCCAGGGAAGGCATTGGGGTCAGTGGTGGGTTTAAGTGCAGATGGGCCATGTGCAATGGCGGCATCACTTCAGCACCTCGACCGTGGAGGATCGAGGGCATCGTTATGTGTCTGATGGGAAACACATGCTGACAAGTTTTCTGAATGAATGTGCCAAGCTCTCAGACAACGGGTTCTGACGTCTGCAATCCACCCATCTTTTTTTTCTTTTCTTTTCAGGTCAGTAAGCCAGTAAAGAGCATTGGTAATTCTATGGCTCTTAGGCCAGCACTACCTCTCCCAGGCAATCTGTTGCGACGGAGTTGCCCACCCCCCGCCACATTCTTCGATGACTTGGCCTCTCAGACCTCTTCGGGCTGACGAGGCCTGCCGAAAAAAAAGAAAACAGCGCCACGCCTAGTTCGTTTTGAACTAAGCGCGCGGCCGACAAAGAGGCTCGGAGGTAGTGGTGGTTTAACTCTTAATTGTGATAATAAAGGCATGAACCATCCATGCAATATCAATATATCTTTCCATGATCCCCAGAATAGGAGCTCTTTTTTTTTTTTTTTAAGAAAAGAAAAAAAAGTTAAAAAAAAGTTGTCAAGACAACTGAGGTTGACCAGTCTGTGCGGACATCTGGATGTCCTGTGAACGTTAAAACGTAGTTGCGGAATCACTTAAACCTATTTTCAGTTTTTTCATATCACTATGTCACTGTGTAAATGATGATATTGAATATGCAAATGTATCCATATGTGTAAGGATAGAATGTACATTTTCATTATCCATTATATTACACTTAGGAGAAAAGCTATTGTGCGGACGGTGCAGCTGACAGGTAATATCTGCAGACTGCATGGTGGAGCGACAACCCCGCCCTCCCCCCACCCCTGACAGTAGCTCTCGCCCTTTCCCGATGTACGTGCTTTCTTTGTGAGCAGAGTCCCCTTCTCGTTTTTCAATAGCTGACTTCTGTAAGAAAGTAGACCATCTCTGTGGGACACTAAGACCACATGTCACATTTCAGGCCCCGAAGGAAACCATGTCCCTGCAGTATGGCACAGGAGTGAGTCATAGCACAAGACAGCGTTTGCTCACAGAGGCTGGGGACACCGTGTGGTCACAGAAGCTGGGGACAGCTATCTAGTAGTTCTCCGTTGGTCACTACTGAACCAAGTGTTTCAAACACCAGCTGTTCCTTTCTTCACGGGAGGGTTGTTTACAGCCATCGATCGATTGATCTCATTGGATTGCAGCAAGTGAATTGACTTCCCAAGTTCTCACTTCATTGCGCCTGCCATGACCTCCATTCTTTTCTGCCCAACTCCTTGTTTGAAAAAGACGAAGAAAAAAAAAAAAGGAACACTCCTTTCTATTCGTGTGAAGCTGCGTGTGCTGCAAAGCAGGTCCAGCGTCCCTGGAAACAAAAGCAATGCACTCGCTGTACGGTTCCCTGTGTTACGGTAAGTGGAACGCTGACAGCATCGATTACTTCGCACAGGAAAGATTTACTGCCGGTACGACGAGTACGCCCACACCACGGAGTCAGGCCCCTTCCCAGCGTCATAAGGACCCTCCTTTTAAGAAACGGCCTTCGAAACAGCCATCAGAACCAGATCTTCCATTCGATTCAAATTCTTGTGGCCCTCTACGGCTCTCTCCTAAGTTGCTGCTCCTGGTATGAGCACATATACGCTGAGTCTCTGATGTTGTCTTCCTGCCAGTCAGCCCATAGGCAAAAGGCTAACCCTCTCGCTCTCCGATGGGCACACACAGAGACAGAGACAGACAGAGAGAGAGAGAGAGAGAGAGAGAGAGAGAGAGAGAGAGAGAGAGAGAGAGAGAGAGAGAGAGAGAGAGAGAGAGATTCTGTCCCTGCTCTGCAACTACCGTTGTGTGCCTCACTGCTGATTCTCCACCTGAACCTCAGGCCGCCAGCTTCCACTGTTCCTATCTTGGCGTCCCCAAGTTGATTCTTGATGTCTTGCTCCTTGTCAGGGCTGTTTTTCATGTCTGCTCTCACCCTTTTCCAGTCTGCCCGGTACTCTGTTCCCGACATCTGAAGCAGCTCCTCCCAGGCTTCCTCCACGGCCACTTGCTGCCTGTCCAATGCTTCTTCATGGTTGGGCAGAAAACCCTCGCGTTGGCAGAAAACCCTCACGTTGCTCACCAGTTTTCTGCCCAACTCCTCCTTTATTTGCTAGCCTGAAGTTGCAGCCAAGATCTTGAACTTCAGCTGGTAGTTATCTGAGTTCTCAGTCTCTGACACAGCTATCTTCACCCGTGAGTGGCCCAGGCCAGTAGCCACTTTGCCTTCTCCACATGTATAATTTTTTTTTTTTTTTTTTTTTGAAACCACCACTACCTCCTATCCTCTTCTTTTTGGTGATCCTAAATTTCACTGAGCACCAATGGGGTGCTGAAGCACCAGTGCAGCGTTTTTGTTTTCTTTTGGCTGGCGCCGCCAGCCTCTGTGGTTCGGTAGTGCCCAGCCTCCACCGGCCTCCAAAGAATGCGGAGTAGGTGACTTTTGAGACTTAGCGTCACAGCCTGAAAGGTAGTTGCGGTTGAAAGAAGGCACCATTTTATTAGTCGCTGAAAACTGGGTTTGCCATTCCTTACAACAAGAACCTACTCTTTGCCTCCCTACATTATGGCCGACGGACGCTGAGACAGCAGCATTGATTCGCTTCCGTGACAGGAAGGATGCACCACTGCCACACCCCTCCTCTGCTCGAACTTATGGTGTAGGTGTCTAGCTTTCCACCCCGGGTGCCCGGGGTACCCGAGCCCGCCCGGAATGGTGCTCGGGTGCTCGGCCATGCAACCCCCCCGGCCAGGCACCCGGGGCCCCCTCAGCGCCGTACCCAAAACGGCCGCACAATTTTTTTTCACGCCGCCGCCCGTTGGCCCACAGGCCAAATTTTTTTTTGGCGGCGGCGCTATTTTTTGGGGACCGGTAGGCCCCTTTTTTGAACTTTTTGTTTCGTTCACTCTTGGCCGTCGATCGTCGGCGATCGACGGTGATCAATCCTTGGCCGATCTGCCCCCCCCGGTGCCCCTCCGCCCTCCACCCTCCCTCCCTCCGCCAGATGCCAGTGACGTCGTCGCCCTCCCGCTGTGCTGTCGTCCCCGTCCTGCTGCCACCATCGTCGTCGTCCCGCTGGCGCGCCATCGTCGTCCCCCTGCTGCCGCGCCATCGTCATCCTCCTGCTGCGGCGCCATCGTCGTCTGCTGCCTTCTCACCAACTTTATCGAGTATTGCCGCGCGCCATCTCCACGAAGGGGCGAACTTCGAGGTAAGTTGCATGTTTTTTTTTTAATTCTTCTTCTTCTTCTTCTTCTTCTTCTTCTTCCTCTTCTTCCTCTTCTTCTTCTTCTTCTTCTTCTTCTTCTTCTTCTTCTTCTTCTTCCTCTTCTTCTTCTTCTTCTTCTTCCCGTTGACTTCCGTTTTTTTTTTTTCCTCATCTTCTTTTCCTTCTTCTTCTTAATATTTCTTTTTCTTTTTCGTTTCTTCTGCTTCTTCTCCTTTTT